CAAAAAGCTTTTAATAATGTTACGAATTTTAATATGGGAATTGTTCTGTGAGTTAATAATGTTAATTATGGCAACCAGCAAGGCCACTTAATTACAAGGTAGAAGAAGTATTTATATATTCATATTCCATTTACATTTAACCTTCAGTCATAAAACTATCACACAATTGGGATCTTTTGAAATCTCAGAAAACTCGAAATTAAAAATTTCATTTTAACAAAGATTAGGTGACAATGAAGAGTAAAAAATCAATCATATCTGAGAACTGTGGTGAAAAGAAGGAAAAAAGTGAAGAAAAAAGTGAGATCTACAATTCCATTAATTTCTTTCAAAAGTTAAAGGTTGGATGTTACAATTGTACAGCCTATGCCTTCTTTGTTACAAAATGTTTACCCTAGGTTATTGTCAGCTATTCCAGAGGTAATCAATGTAACAACAGATTTGACGACTCCCTGGTCAGACAATAAGTTCATGATTACAACCCAAGTTGCATGTGGCATTCAGATTTAATTTACTTCACTTTCTGAGTGAAGGCTGAAACAGCTGTTAAGAAGCAGCAAATTAATTCAGCGGGTATGTACTGCTGTGAGAAAGAGCAGATACTAGGAGACCAAGGATAAAACAAATACATCTTAGTTACCTATTTTGTCACAATACAATGTAGAGGAGGCAGTCCTATTGAAGATAAAAAGCATTGAAAGTCCTCTATATCTTGTTCAAGCCACTTTGTGAATCGAGGAAGTCTTAAGCTTGGGATACATGTTTGATTGTTATACAATTTCTTTCAAATTTGGTAGGGCCCCACAACTATCCCCTGGTGAATAATTTTCATAATTGTCATAATCTGTCCAGTCTGCTTGTCATTGTATTGTTCTAAAGAGAATCAGGCATTGATCACTCTTGAGCCTTGAGGGAAAGGGACCACACTGCTTGATCAAAGCCTAATATCTCCATATTTAGGAAGCTTATGAACATTTTTGTCTAGTTTTGACATGCATTAAACTTATTCTGAAAATTTCGAATGAAAATGTCTTTGATGTTCTAAATTAATTCCTTAAGTATTGTCTTTGGTATTACATAGAGACGAACCGTCTCCCATTGGTGTACGAAAAAGCAGAAGCAGAAACAAAGGAATCAGCATCCGTCATTAGCCATCGAACACAACATCTTAAGAAATCTCTTAGCTTTTAATCCTTTAATGACGTTTTGTTCATCTTTTTTCCACGAGAGCTGCAGCTTTTTATTGTGTCATTGTTCCAAAGAGACTTACGAAATTTCATAGATTTCAACAATCAAAATAGCGTTATTAAATATGTTGAACATGTGGTGGCATATTTAAAATTACTTATGTACAATAACGAATTCGAAATAAGCCTTACTCTCAGGGTTAAGGAGATTCTATTAATGACAACAATTTCTTAAATGTGTCTAGTTTTTTTTTTGGTGAATTTCGCAACCTTCGTTCGCAAAGAAAATAAACAACAAAGTGAAGATATTGCAAAGATTTGGCCCTGTAAATCTTTAATAATCAATTTATTACGATAAAATAACGGAAATTTTACAGAAGTTGTCAAGTCGGTTTTTATAAGTTTTACCTTGGCGAAGAAGCATTTGCTCGCTAATTAAAAGGAAATTTACTCTCCACAGTTGAGTTTCTAATATGGTGTGATTATTGCCTGACAAACAGAACTGCATAAAGAAGGGAAGTAAATTAAAAAAAGAAAAATATATACATATATATTCATGTATTTCATGTATATTTAGAAACAATCTTATCTTATAGCAGCTGTCCAGTGTGAGAAACTAACATTGTTGATAATTTTAAAAGGAAGTCAATCGGGCAGAACTTTCTTTAAAAGTGTCACCTGCAGAAAATAACTCGACTGTGGGATTATTAAATGATTAGGAGATATCAAGGAATTGTTTTCAAATTTGTTCCATTAGCATAATCAAGGTAGGCGGCCGGCCGGGCAGAGCGCCTGAGATAGCATCTACACTTTGACTCACTTTCAATATGTCTTCCACGGAAGCGAAGGCGGTAAAATATAAAAAATAAAACATTTGTCTCGCGGTCAATACGTTGTATTGGAGACGACTTGTAGCAAAATAACAGCAGGAGAGAGAAGACGCGTTTTTTAAGTGTTTCTTTGCACGGTTTTGTTTTGGTAACGTTTTTTATCCAGCTTAACAAAGGAACACGACCGAAGTTCACCATTGCGGTTTCCGGCCTCTTTCAAATTGATGGTGTTGTACCTTTTCCTTGCCTATTAAAACTTCGATTGCTTTATCCAAAATGAAGAAAACTTGTAACGTTATTATCAATGTTTCTGTACGTGCTCAAAAAAAAAAACACTGAAAAAAACGTATGAAGCACGTTTAATCCTCGATAAAGCACAGGAGAACACCGCATCGAAAACACGTGGTCCGACGAAGCGCTATTGACATAGCCCCGAAAAAATGTCCTGAAGAAGTAGTTATTTAAAACACATAAAAACATTTCAACGAGGGGGCAGGGCGATTCATCCACGAGTTTCGCAAACATCTATGCGAAGGTCACCGAACACAATTTCATTCAATGACCGCTCGTTCGGTGGTACAATGTTTGCATTTCACAAGACAATCCCACGTGAAAAATTATCGTACAATGGACATTATGATTTGTCATCGCTAAACGAAATTCATTTGGCTCCGGTATTAAGCCAGGAAGTATTAGCCCACTACAACATCCGTGGAGGATTTCAATTTTCTGCTCGCACTAACGGATCGCTTTTCAGAGGCGTTCAAACTCCACTTTGCTATCGCGATCGCTACCGATTCAAATTTTCGACGATAACTTTTTCGAGGCTAATTGGGCAACTAGCCAAGATTTATCCCTCAATATCACCACTGTGTACTTTTCATAGGAGCTGTGTTTTCCGATTAAAGCTATTACACACATTGTGCAGATGCGACACAAAGAGCCTACACAAAACCACGCACGTGTATGGCCTTTATTACCATGTCATTCAAGTCGCGATATGTTTCTACACCGCGCGAATTTTTTTCCCGCGAAAACAACGGACACAACACGTGCTGTATTGCGCGTAGATCACGCATGCGTCGTGCGTAAACTCACGTGATTTTTAAGTGATTTATGGGTGTACTGCACGAAACTATGCAGAGAATTTCACGCTTCGTGAGACAAACGTTCGCGAAAAGTTTTCCAAACGGGTTTTAAATACCGGAAGTCGAATAGAAGAATGGTAAATTGTCGATAACATTACAGGCAAAGCCGCTAAGATTCCACTCGGAGGCTTTTCACAAAGCGCGAAGTTTTCGTGTCGTTAAGCGCGCGCAACAGCTCTCCTGCTCAGCACGCATAACTAAGTTATTATGCGCCAAAGTTGTAAACATTGATAGCACAAAGAGACTGGCACTTGGGTCTTTTCTGCATTATTAACCACAAAACAAAAAGCGTCCGCACTGTTCAAGTACGATGTTACATTTTCTTGGCCGTACCCCAGAAAAGAGAGAGGGACAGAGAGCAAAAAAACCCCACACAATCCCAATGGTTGGAAAATTCGACAACTGTTGAGAGCAAAGAGTTGCTTACATCCAGCGTGATTACTGATCGCGGAGTTACAGAGTAATACATAGTACAAGAAGCAACAAGTTAGGCCAAAAATATCGACAACAAAGCCATGCATTTTACAGATGCTGTATCAATACAATGGCCCGTGTAGCACGCCACTCTATCACTGATGATAACTCAGCGCAGTACATGAGCGCGCGCTAAGGGGAGGCCTTAATTCTGACAAGCTTCGTACCTTAGGGTTTTTATTCTTGGATCCTTTTGGCCTTCCTCGTGGTCGTTTTATAACGGGTGCTCCGTCATCTTGAGGCTTCTGTGGCGAGAAAGTTAACAAACATTGATGATCGATATTAAGCTGAGCTAAATTTAGTCCTCAAGCGAATGACCTCATATTCCTGCATGTGACCCTTCAGTGCCAACTTCGCGACGACGCTAGCAATGAAATTTATCCGTAACAAGTTACATTCACAACACACACAGTTGTACCTCGGGAAAGTTTTTTCTCGGCCGTCCTCTCTTGCCTTTCCTGGGCACTTCCGTTGACAAGAGCTTTTCATCTCGAGCGAGTTCGTTCACGGTTTCCTGTGTTGTTTCCGTTGCAGCGTTTGCAACGCTCTCTTCTTGTGGCGCCACCGTGCTAGGATCACTCATTGTGCGGACTGTGCGCGCACCAGAAAATTATTTTCAGTGCCGTGCGCGCGACGCGTAAATGAAATCCTTGACCGTGCGCTTCGAATTTTCAGGACCGCGCCTTATGATTTTGTAATCGCTTTGGAATTTTTTTCCGAGTTCGCCGATCAAGCGAGGAGCGTGGGAGGTTTGTGTTCCTCTTCCACCCCCCCACTCGCAATGATACGCATTTGAAGCGCTGTTCCAAGTTTACACTCTTCTTGTCTACTACACAAATCATTGGCAAATCTACTATCGTGTAGCTCTGCGCTAATTGACTAATACAACTTAGAAGCGCCTCTGTGATTGGCTCTCGCGTGATCTATTGTCAGTCGGACCCGCGTAGTTTGTTTCGCAGAAGAGCCAAGACCACCCTTCTTCTTTTGAACATGCCGCTTGATTGACGGACGGTCCGAGCTGCCGGAAATGAAATCAAATGAAAAAATTCGCGACGTTGCTATATAGGCATTGTGCAAATGCATCTTATTTTGCGGTTGCTGTGTCCATTTTTTTCCCGGGAAATGCAAAATACTTTCGCGTGAGACGCGCTTCCCACGAAATCATTCTTTGATTCAAAGCGCACGCTTTCGTGGGTTTCCGTGCGTTAACGCGGATAATGCCGTGTTCAGCGAGAGGTCGGAAAAGACAACATCCCAAGCACTTCCTTTTGATTTCATTATCTCCAAACCTCAAAAGTCCTCGCAACTTCACGCCACATAGGTCTGTAGGTCGGTCGCATTTCGTCAGCTATCACAACAAACGGATTCATATCAGTTCTTACAGGAATTTTAAACTCGATCCCCTTAACTAAGTATTAGAGTCACTTGGATAAAACAACAACCATTTAACGATTTGTTTAGTGATAGCAGGTGACGGAAAGCGCAAGAATTTGCAAGAACTCCAGAAATGACTTCATCGGCTATTTATTACTCATGGACACTATGAAAGGGAAGATGACTGGATATTAATTAAGTAAACAGGATTTTGAAACGGCTTGGGTGTAGCACATAGCAAACTTGCAACAAAAAGCTTGGTTTCGAAATAAGTTATTGCAGATTTTCAATCAAGCAGCTCTTTCGCTTGCGAAATTGTATCGCTCCTCCATCATTTTACAATCACGGCTAAGCCTGTTTTTACAATTTTTCCTGACGAAATCGCAGCTTATCCAAAACGGGGTAGCGTCATGAGAGCTGGGCAAACTCTCAGTTCATTGCATGCAGAGCTAACTATAACACAACAAATTAACAACTTATAAGCAAACACACTTATACGGAAAATAATGCTGTTGACAGTCTGAAGCTGCAGGATTCGGAAGTAAGAACACCGCCGCTTTTCCGGAATCAACACAAAATCTTGAACCTTGTAACTTTTTTTTACAACTGAACAAACCTCAGTAATGCATCCATTTTTTAGTTCGGTCGCGAGGCAGTAAATAATCTTTTCACCAGTGCCGAAAGCTTAAGATTTGTTTAAAGTGTCTCGCAAAGTTCAACCTCGATGACGTTTTTGCCTCCGATGCAAAATTCTTAGCGTTCTTAACCCGCAAATTTACGTACATCCCGAAACCCACTGCCCATATTAAGTAGCAAACAATGTTGGACTACTGCCAGTAGAGCGGAACATGTTTCATGTACATCTTTAGGACTGCCGAGTACTAAAAGATTGTAATTGTACCACTGTAAGCAAAACTACATTGCAGTGATACAAGTGGATTGCTTATAAGAGAGTACAAACTACGAAGCTGCAGTTCATGCCGGTTTTAATGGGCCTTCAAAGTGTTGGCCGAGAACACAGCCTCTGGAAGGTGATACAGATATTAGGGGCTCTAGAGTTGTACAGGGTTAATGTCTTAATCTCAGTGGAAGAGCGATTTAATTCCAGGATTTTCCTTTTAAAATCTTCGCCAGCCTCCACAGTGGGAGAATACGTCAATGCCAACTAGATTTTGAAATGTTGAAGTGGATTGTGGCAGCTGAATTGTCACATCGACGAGCTGGAATGCTTTCTTGCGAAATTTTCTTAAAATTCTTTACGCGCTCTTCCCACGGCATACAGCCCGCTTGCCCTTGTTGAAACTGCTGTCAGTGAATTGCGAAACAAGACTAGGAATGTTGTTAGCTCTTTGTGACGGTTTGTCAAAAAAGTCACGTTCACAACTGTTTGATTTCGCTGAGTGTTCCTCAGTGCTCCAACAATGTTGCATGACTGTGGGTTGGAAAATTCTTGGAGGTCAGTCTCTGAAACCATGTCAACCATGGAGAACAGGAGTAACTGAGTGTAGGTACTGAGAACTCCGTTGGAAAACAATTCCCTTCGTAGAATTTGTCTGGGCCATTAGACATCTTTAGACAAAAGTTACTCTTATCTAGCAGGGTGATTTCAGTGAGTAGAGACGACAAACGAGAGAAGTACCTTTGTGCTGTCTATTTCGTGAGACAATGTACTTTTCCTGCGACATATAAATGGCTTATTTCCTTTTCACTACATTGAATTGGCTTTTTGGTGCGGGTTTTGAGCGATATAAAGGGATTCCCAATTTTTTGAACTTCCGTGGGGAACGAAAATTGGTTTGAAACATCGCATAGTTCGAGAAATTGGGCGTAGAATCGCAGTGTTCGACTGAGGGGAGGGGAACGACTTTTGGTTCGAATTATCAGGAGGTTCGAAAACTCCAGGGTTAGAAAAATCGGGACTCCACTGTGTGTTGTTGTTTAAACGAGTAATACACCACGTAGTGAGAAACCTACGACATAGATGCTTTCTCAATTGCTATATGTGCGTTGTCACTGAAAAAGTAACTCTGTTATAACGGATATAGACTACAACATACTGAGCACTTCTCTTTCCCTGCATTCAGCTGGCTTTCTTGAACACGGAATGGGTTTCTTTTTTAAACCCTGCACCTTTTTTTCTTCTTCTTTAACAGCGAATGTTACCAGTATGACACACGAATGGCTTCTAATCTTTTCATTACATTTAGCTGGCTTTCTTGCACGTTGACTGGGTTTCCGGGTTTCTAAATAGTACACCATCTTTCAAAGAAACAATTAACAGCGAATGTAACCAATATGACACACGAATGGCTTCTTCTCTTTCATTGCATTCAGCTGGCTTTCTTGTACGTTCGATGGGTTTCCCAATTTCTAAATAGTACGCCATCTTCTTCACAGAACAATTAACATCGAATGTAATCAATGACACACGAATGCCTTCTACTCTTGTTACTGCATTTAGCTGGCTTTCTTGCACATGGGATAGATTTCTCAGTTTCGTAATAGCGCACCATCTTCTTCAAAGAAACAATTTAACAGCGAATGTTGCCAATGTGAAATACCAACGGCTCCTACCCTTTTTACTGCATTTAGCTGGCTTTCTTGCAAGTGGGATGGGTTTCTTTGCTGAATGATGTACCTTCCTCTTTAAAGAAATCACTTACAGTGATTTTTACCAACATGGGACATACAAATGGCTTTGTCTTTTTTCATTGTATTTAGTGTCCCTTCTTGCAAGTGGGATTGGTTCCTTTGCTGAATGGTGTACCTCGCTCTACAAGGAAAAATGAACAGTGAATTTTGCTAGTTGGACACAACGGGCTTCCACTCTCTTCATGATATTTAGTTGTCCTTCTTGCAGTGTGGTTTTATTTCCCAAATACACGAGGAATGATTTTTCCCGCTGAACACACAAATGGGTTCTCTTTTTGATGAGTTTATTTGGTTTCTTAAAGCGTTGGTTTCTCTGGCAATAAAACAATACACGATGCCATTCGAAAGAGAAATGAACATCGAGTGTACATTATATCATGAAATGTGGTTTATTTCTGACTGTATTAAGTTGGCTTCTTACAGTACAATGGGTTCCTCTCTTTCTATCTTATAAATCATGAAAAAATAAATGTTCAATTCAAAGTTACCTATGACATGAAAATGGAATGAAATATCTCTTACTTGGAGTTAATGTTTTTTTTTTTTTCAGTTGGCTATGAACTAGTGAACTAAGGTTTTCTTCGAATCATAAGGGACGTGTTGTCCATTAAAAGATGACATTTGCAATGAACACTGTAACATACAAATGGGTTCCTTTTGGGTGAATGTAGCAGGATTTTCTTGTAATGTGATTTCTTTTAATCTTCCAATACTGTAAACGTCTTGGCATTGAAAAGAGAAATACAAATAGATGTTACTTATGAAATTAAAAAGACTGCTTTTCCTTTGTATATTTATACGTTCTTCTCGGATTTTTCTTACGTTTACGAAGTACGTATAAATGCAAACAAACAAAAATCAACCTAACAAAAGACACTGTGTTTATTGCCGGACTACATGTGGTCAGAAACTAAACATTACATAAATGGACACAATATTCTTGGCGAATGAAGTCTGCCTTTTTGGCAGCCAAAGCAATACATTTTCATGTTAAATCTGTTAAGGGCGTGAGGTAAAGAAAGCTACTAAATCGCCCTAAAAGAACATCATGTTAACTTCACATCACAGAACGCACTAAAACCATTGTTCCGATTAAAAGCAGATAGTTTAACCTTTGTGACAAAAATAGCGAAGAATTCGAAAACAATAACGGATTCAAAATTCCTTTCTGTGATAAGGCCAAGTAATGCAGTTGACCTGGATTTTTGTATGGCGCGAGGAAAATAATTCTTCCTGAAATAGAACCCATGTTAACCTTAGTTAGACCAAAAATAGTTTCGAATTCAAAGTGTTTTTGGTGAACCGCTTCCCCTTTTCTGAGAAAAAATGTTGGAAAGTGAAAGAAATCAGGTAAAATTAGTTTCCTTTTAGTTTCAAATGAAAAAAAACTCTCAAAATGTTACGATATTTAACTCTCTTACAAAGATTATAAAGCACAACAAATTAAGAGCACAGACCACTTATTGAAGCAAACTAAACAGTTTATAATTCTCAGCGAGTCTCAACTTTAGTGAGCATTTTCCAGAATTTTTCTAACCACGTTAGACATTAATATAATCTTAAGCAAAAACATACAGTTAACAATCTTTTAAAAGGCCGAGAGTTAAGTTCGTTCGTTACTAGTCAGAGTTAAGCCGGATTACGACATAACCTGCATACGTTGAAGGCTTACTGAAGTATTGTCACTGATAATTCACCGTAAAAAAACCCGTTTTTCTTTCTCCTAAAAGACAAAAAGAAGACTGGAAGAACTTGTGTTTAACTTTGCATGCTCCGGCCCCCAAAAAAGCGCCTTGACCAGACTCAGAGAGATCATCCCAAAGCCTAAATTACACACAACACACGCATCTGTCATCACTTTGCTGATACGACAAATTCGAGTCATGTCAAGGTAAGTTTAATTTTCAAGTTTGTGGATGAAACCCTAGTGTGTGACCATCCAAAGGAAAGCTATTGTGCAGTTGTTTCGTGTAGTACTGTCTGTTGTGCTGTACAAGGTGGTTCTAACATTAAATTCTGTGAATAAAACTCTAGTGTGTGACCATTCAAATAAAAGCTGTTGAGTATTACTTTCATGTGGTACTGTTCATTATGTTTTTTCAAGATGGTCCTGACTTTTAAGTCTATGGATGAAACCCTACTGTGTGGCCATTCAAATGAAAGCTATTTAGTAGTATTTTCATGTGGTACCTTTTTATTTCCCTGTACGAGGTGACCCTAACTTTGTACGTCTATTGATGAAGATCTCGATAGCAGAAACTTCAGTATATGACCATGCAAGTCAACAGTATTGAAAAGTACTTTCATGTGATTTTCCTTAAAAATTTTCATTACCCAAGCTGATATTTTCAAGCATAAAGTTTGGAAAATTAACCCTCAGATTTTTACCATGGACATTTAGGAGCAAAATGATTTTAAAATTAAATTTTGAAGAAAACGACACAAGAAGATTTGCACTTTTATTGCACGAGAGCTGAAAACCTCTTGCATTTTTACTTTGCGGTAAAATACACATTTGTCTTACTGTAAAATACACAACACATGAAATATGGCATTTGCCTTAAAAACTGAGAATGATGTGATAAGAGTTAAATAAAATTTGTCTTTACTACATCTTAGAGTTAATGTAGATTAAGAAGTAGTGTGTGCTATAGTTCAGAGTTTAATCTAACGCTTGTCGTTCTGGCAACTGAATTGAAGACATTATATTCAACATACGTTATCCTTATTCATTTAAACTACACTGTAAAATACAGTAAATTTTACACTTGAATCCATCTTTGTGCAGCTCTCGAACTCAATTGCCACTACAAAGACCTTTTCAGAGTAACTTGAAATATAATTTAACCGTGCAATGCGTACACTTTTTTCCTCACGTCACTGATAAACTGAAACAGTTTAAACGCCTCGCATGCAACGTGATAAATGCTAGCCAAGTAAATGCAGCAATAAAAGATTAAATGTATGCATGTTTAAATGTTATTGTTGAATATTGCATGGGAGAAAGCTACGCAAGATTACAATCAAGCAATATAGTTTTATATCCCACGTTTGCTATTTAAACCACTATTTTAATTTTGAAAAACACTTAAAGAAGTATTCTGACCACAAAAATTAATTCATACTCGATAAACTTATATAAAACTTCTATTTCGAAAATACGAACTCACAGGATTAGAACAATAGTAAATAGTGTCTCACAAATTTTACATTGCCAAATATCGTAACTAATGCATTTATAGTTCGTCGTAATGGAGACAGGTAAATTCAATGCGTTGGATAAAAGATTAAAATTTGGAGATGTTTTCGATGAAACAAAAACAAAACCTTATCATTTTCTGTTCTTATTGTGTCCTTATTGTTTTTACTTCCCATGATGTAAAAAACGGGCTTTTCTGCAAAACTATCGTTCTGCAATCTTTACCTATTACCTCGACCGATTCCACTCTGTTCCGCCCTCCACCCACAGATTTTACAGGGATCAGCTGGCAAAAGCAATCTTTGAGGCATTTTGTTTTGCTTGGGAGTTGTATCTGGAAGATACAATTTTAGTAAGCCATATCAATTCTAGATCGTAAAGGTTTTCAGCGCTTAATTAATCGAGAATTTTTTAATATTCTTCCTGTATGGCTTTCATTTCCTCCCCTCCCTTTAAAAGCTCTTCCTTTATATAGGAGAGGAAGATAGTTTTCATCCAAAGTGCTGGCTTCGTTCCCTCAATCACGTTTTACATGCATTAACGGGCAATAAACCTTGTAGCGCATTTCTGTAAGATTGACAGACCTCTTGCTCAGAACCCACAAATGGCGGACAAGACCTAAGTGCAGCGTGGGTTTTTGCACGAATAACTTCTCGAGAGCCAGGACAAATCGCTCTTTGTGCTTCAAAGACTTTCAAACAAATTGTATTTAATTTATTTCACGGATTTGCAACGAAATAATCAAAAAACATATTGCGCAAATAACACAAACAATCACTAATAAATTCATGGATGCCTGGTTTTATGGGCTAGTCCGCGAAACATTTGCCCATATTATTACGCAATAGCAAAACCACGAACACGCGATTACGGAAGCTTTAGAGCATAGCTAAAACTTCCTTTTGGCGATTTACTGACGACAGGCTAAAAGATAAATCTACCTAGAATATAACACTTTTTCCATTTAACTCAATCGCTAGGACAAAGCAATGTGAAGAACGGTATGTAGACTAAATATAAATCTGAAAACATATCGGTCTAATACCACAGAGTTATTCTTCCAAGAGCTGTTCATTGTTCGAAGGTAACTAAAGTCTGATTGTTCCTTGATTATAAAACGTGAATAAAACTGATATTGCTTCCGAGAAACAAGTTGGATATTTCAATGCTTCACGGCTATGCTTTGATCTGAGGTCATCTTGAATGAAGTGGTTGAAGCATTCACATTTTTTATCGCTGCATTTCTTGCATTTCAGGCGCATATATTCAAAAGATTCAAGGTGTTTTTTTGGCGTTTTGCTTCGTGAAAGTAACTCTTGCAAGCAAAATGAGAAAGTACGTTGAAATTTGCGACATGATAACCGAGCTGACCTTAATAAAACAGCAACAAGGCTTAATGAAACTCGCTCTATGTTGAATTTATAATGGCAAGAGTCTTAATACACGTTACTCAGTAACAAAATAGCAAAATCTCTGGCGCCTCTCACAACCGTTTGGAGGCGGACAAATTTCCAAGTATCTCACAATCGTTGAGCTGTATCGTGCGCCACTTGAACTGAACTCGTAAAAATATTAGAACGGACTTCAAAGTTTATGATAATCACTCCGTAGGTAGGAATAAGTTTGCAAGGCACTGTGATAAGCAGTCATGTATCGACTGAGCGTTTACGGAGATCACATACCTCTTATTAATGACTTCTGCTGTATAAAATAACATCAGTAAGAGATCGTGGTGCGTTGAATCAACAATTACTGCTGAGTTTAGCTTCCATGAAACCAACTTGTGCGCTGCAGTGCCAATATATCATTCCTTCCTAGCAGCCGGAAAAAATTTATTTGTAAAGAACGTGTTTGCATTCGTTGTGAGCTTTGGACAACGTGAAAAGATTTGGCGTACATTTTAGGCGCAATTTATAGCCCTTCTTTTCTCAGGTCTTCCGTTTTTGCTGCGCAATTACAAGCTTTCAGCTACAAACGTCATTCGCATTCTTGGCCCATCAGCGTAACATAAGACATTTCAAACTTAAATAAGCTAAATGCGTTAGATGCCGTGCTCAAAAGGGTCAGCCTTCGAAAAATCCTGTCTCATTTATTCCTACTCTCTTGTAACCTGCTGGTTTCAATCCAAACTCCGGACGCCAGTCGTACGCAACCGGCAGGGAAGCGGTCATATTGTCGACAGTAACGCTGTTGTCTGGACTTTCTTTGCGGGAATACGACATAGACTTGTCATTGATCAGTAGAAAGGTTACTGTGTAATAACAAGACTGCAGGTCATCTACTTGACAAATCATCTTATCTGGAATGCATTTTTGTAGTAATAACAGCATCTGTCCCATCCCTTCCCTCCTCCATCCTTCCAATCCCGTCCCGCAGCACATCGGAACAAGTTAGAAGGCCCGCGCCCAACATAGATTTGGCGGGAAACGGGATGAGTAAAAATGAAGGCGGGATACGGGATGACAGGACTTTCAATGGAGGGATGCGGGATAAAAATATTTTAGAGGGAAAGGGATTTGGACATTTTGACAGGCGGGATACGGGATAGTCTTAAAATTGATGGCGGGATGTGGAATGAAAAACGGAAAATCACTCTAAGTAGGAGGGATCGAGAAAAATATTCTGACCGGGGCGAGATGGCTTGATTGAGGCAAAAAAGGTGACGGGATGCGGGATGCGGGATGGAAAAAGCCTAAATATGTTGAACCCTCAAGTAAAGCATAAATAATCAGAATTTCACAATTTATACTTCTAATTTTCAAGAGAGATCAAAATAACATTTCTCCTGACCATATCAACACACTGTCAAGTACAATAGTTATGAGAATACCGAAACTCGTCAACTAGATATTACTGTCATGAAGTCAATGATCATTTGAACTGTAGGCCACTGTAACCCTATATTCACAGAAATCAATAGGAAACCACACTAACTGTCGGAACAATGGCTGTAAAGTAACGATAATAAAGAACTGAAACTTTGTTAAAACTAACAGAAAATATCATAGACTACAAAAAGTGCGTATTCAGCTAAGTATTTGTATTTGGGATATTCGTGAGAAGTCATAAAGTCAAAATACAACAGAATGGTGACTCCCAGGAAAATGAGAGCTCCACTGGCTGATATTATTAAAGGCGTTCCCTTGAAGCTTACGTGCCTTGACTATTCACTGTTTTCAATGATTTTTAGCTACGAATGAGTTTGCGGGAATTTAAAGACAACTTGCTCAAACAGTGGTTCAAAAGGTTCTTCGAATACAGTCGAACCTCCTCGGATCTCTCTCGGCTATGGGGAGGTAGGGGTGTAATATGACATCTGCTCTTTCGGGGATGCAACATTTGTTTTAAAAAATGCGCATTGCAGAAGATATATGCATATATAAATATGTAACACAATCAAAATATATCAATAAAACGCAAACCAAACAGAAACAGAGACCAACGACGCGCAGTATGAATCAAGTTTTGTGACACTTTACAATGAGACATGGGGTTTTGTGTACACCGTGGGTAAGTTGCTGATAAACTGGCCGTTGTCGAGCAGTTGAGACGCGCGTTAGTGACTGTTCCCGTTGTGTAGTGGTGGCCGTTGTAAAGAGGTTCAAATCGGTTTGAATGTCTGGACCGTCCGCCGAGACAGAAAAAAGTGGCCGTTGAAGAGAGGTGGCTGTTAGTGGAGGTTCGACTGTGTTCCTTTAGACCTCCTAAAAAGCTGTACGGACAAAGGTACCTTAACTCAATACACCCGATGACAACTCGCAACAGTTAAATTCTATCTTGCGCACAACGAATTCTGTTTCCACTGAAAATGCTTCGCGTAACATTACACACAAAGTTGCAGAAGTGGAATTACGTTTTATTTCTACAATACTGCACGAGCCTGTGATCACAAGCTTGCGCGCAATGACCTGACACAAGTATCAGTAGTTTACGGTGTATTTTTGTTAACATTACCGTAAAAAAACTCAGACTTTTCTTACTGTTTGGCTATTTAACCTCCAACCCAAACACGACAATCTGTTTCCTTTTCAACTTTCCTTCTCGACTGAAACTGTGGCGCGCCTTGCTGCATTGTAAGCCGGAACCTTTACTCCCACCTTATTCCCCCCCATTCTTCACGTTTACCCCTCGCCCCATATTCCACTGCACCCCGCATTAAGGTTGTTCATTATTTAATGAGTGATATCGCAACCCCCACAATAAATCACTCTGACGGCAGGTTAAATAACTCTAACAAACACTAATCTCGTGATTATTGCACTATGGATAAAGATTAAACGCGATTATTTCCTCTGATCTGAGCGCTTGTAAATCGTGTTTGATTTTTACCTGTTCCTAAGAAGACACAGGTCAGAGTCCATCACATGGGGTTTTGGGATCACACACTCCAATCTGTATGATAACTGTTCATTTGCCAAAGATAGCTGGGCCAAGTTCTTCTTTGTACCATTTGATTTCATTAGCAGTCCTGGCGCTTTGGTAACGCTATACAAGGGCTTGGGGCGTCACGAGTCACGCAGTCTTCACTTTCGGGTAATGTGACAAAATCTCGGCCTGCAATTGACAAATTATTCTAACTAAAGAAATTTACGAAAACGTATTTTGAATGTAACTTCATTGCAAATTTCAACAAATCAAAAAAATGAAAGCTATTTATGAACACTTCAAATTGGACAATCTAGTTTGTACAGAAGTTTTTTTTTTTACTATTTAGTTTCACTGTTCACAATGTTTTTCTTCCATTCATTGACAAAATATTTCCTTGTTTCTATTAACACTTTGAACAAACCGCTCAATTAACCAGTGACAGGGCTAATGACTTCCTTTACAAAGGAAGGAATTCTACTGTAAAACTATTTCCATCCGCACCCTCAACTGATAGCTATCCTTACTCCATCATGGCCAGAGCAAGGGTTCTTGTTATCTAACGAGCACTACTCTACAAACTCTAACCATTACCGAGAGGTTTCTTGTAAATAAGTTATCTCTTTGAGCTTGGTTTCTACTAAAAGGAAAAACACGTAAAAGAAACGTGCTAGAGACGGATCCATTAATAACGGACCTGTATGTTCGGCCCCACCTACCCTACACCGGAGGAATTTGAAAACGAAGGTTTCACTCTGAGAACACATCAAATGTTTACCGTCAACACTACGCCGGAGGAATTTGAAAACGAA